AGTGGTGGACCTGGCCCGAGAGAATTCTGTCAATCCCGACCATCAACCAGAAATCGACATGTCGGCAAATGGGCTACTCTCTCTCGCCGGATGGTATTTCCTGCCAGGGGTGAGATATACATACCGTGCAAGAAGCCAACCAGCAATACAGTACTAATATCGAATAGCTGGTAACGGGATACGTTCAATCTGCCTTGTACGCCATCCTCATCCGCGCAGGTGACCCAAAGCCAGCGCCCGGATCGCCACGCTTCGTTCGCGACCGACGACGCATCCACATCTGCGTGATCGTCATATATCTCCTATACACGGTCTACGAAGCAGACTATCAACTACGACTCGCCGGAGACTTTTATCAAGACCTAGGAGTTGCCCACGATGTGACTGACAAGGCAGTGCAGAGCCGCTTCAGGCGATTGTAAGTGGCATGCATTTACACGTACTTCCGCCACCACAAAGCACAACTAACCCACCCACAGAACCGTCCAGTTCCACCCCGACAAAGCCACAGGCCCCGACCGCTCCAACGTCGAAGCAATCTACGTCCGCCTCCAACTAGCCAAAGACACCCTAATCGACCCAACCAAACGCTTCGCCTACGACCGCTTCGGTCCGCAAGTCCTACAGTGGCGGCAAATGAAGACGATCCGCGACTACGTCTTCGCCGGCGTGCAAAACATCGGCACCTACTACATCGGCACCGGCACCGGCCTCGTCCTGCTCAGCGTGCTGGGCTACCTGCAAACCGGCAAATTCTGGCGCTACCTGGTCATGGCCGCCCTGTTCACCATCGAACTCTACGTCATGACCAGACCTCAATTCCCAACAACTCTGAGCAAACTGGTGAACCCCTTCCTCGTCGCGACGAATCTCCGCCCTCCGTATCTTCCATTCCAAATGCTGGAGCTGCTGCGGAAGATCGCGGTGACGTTCTTCATCGCAATGGCACAGCTGGGCCCGTTGATGAAGAGCCCGCAAGCACAAGCTCAAGCCGCGCCTTCGGACAGCAGCGTTGTGACGGCCCAGCAAATCGATCGGTTGGAAGTGTTGTCGAAGGCTACTGATTCGGAAATGACGAGGCTGTTGAGTTTGGAACTTGCGCCTTTTGCGAGTGAGGACCCGGCGATGAAGCCGCTGAGGAATAGTGTCAAGGAGTGGCTGATTCATAATACGATCCAGAATAGTCCTGAGGTTAAGGGTGCTATGCAGAGCGTTTTCTCGCGGCGACGGGATGAGGGGAGGTTGTGATGCTGGGCGGTTTTCTGTAGCTTTGTACAATTGACGAATGAA